GTTATCTGATCTTTCCATCAGATAAATATGCACTAATTTAATTCCTAAGTTAAGGTCTACACATTACGCTGATTTATCCAGCTAAGGGGGAACTCAAGGCGAATTGCAGCAGTAGGGTGTAAGTGTCAGAAAGCAGGCGGTAATTATCGCACATTTACCAATTGTGGCATGTGACCTCCAGAACAACATGCAGCACCGATTGGTCACAGGTTATTGACATGTTACTCGTTTTTCAGCTGCTTCAACCTATGTGGAGTGGGTGAATTTTTTCTTAAGGAAATTTGCAGTTATATCGAAAAATTTTAGCGACACTTGGATTTGAACCTGGACCTCTAAAGTTCACTGCTGAACCACTCCCCTCTGCACCAGTGCCCCAAAACGTATACAATCAAATATGTATCGGATCGAAGGCACAAACTATTTTATATAATGCCACAAGTTAAAGGAGGTCTGTTATACATGCTATCATAGTCACAGATCAAAACGACGAGGACAAGAATGTTAGTGCGTAAACTAACAGAAGAACAGACGCAACAAGGTGATCGAAAATCGTTTGACTGACTGCGATTATTAAGGTGATCAATTATCAAGGCAGAACAAACCTTAATGACACTCTGACAGCCTGTAACGCTGGCGCACTTAGAACAACGGTGACGATCAGGGTGAATCGTTTCGAATTGCACGACAGCTAAAACACAGTTTTATAAGCGGTTACGTTATCTATAAAACTAAGTGACGCAAAATCGTGAATCTTAATTGAGCCCGGTCGTTTCCAACGTCACGGTGCCATTTCGACAGCCAAAGATTTCAGCCTTTATGCCGCACTTAAGTTCAACCAACAACGATAAGAAGTACAGCTCGCCAGAGAAATCATGCAAGAGATCGGAAAATTCTGCCACATGGCACTGGCGCGTATGCTGGTCTAATTTCAAATGCGGTCACTGCGATGGGGACTAGTTTCTTTTATTTACCGTCAAACGTGCAGCCTATTTTCGAAGTGCTTAACCTCTGTGAATGTTTGCCCATGTACCACAACGAACCCGTAAAACGGGGCTTCTAAGACGTTTATGGCCCAACTGTGTTGCCTTCCAATTCTTTAGAGAAAATGTTCTCCAAAACACTGTGCCATGAAAACAAAGCTACGCTAGCAAAACATGTTTAGTCAAAAGGAAACTGTGAAGTCTGTGGCTTGAATAAAATCGCTAAAGAGATCCACTTTTCACGAGAGAAAAAATAAAAATGAAACTAATGATCCTCAAACAGAAGTGACAAGATGATGAAGAAGAGCAGAATAAAACAACTGACCCTGTTATTTTAAGATAGCGTGATTTACAATTACTTAGAGCTTCCATAATTCGCGCAGAAGCTGAAATTACCGATTTAATTTGGAGGTAAACTCCTTCAAATAAGAAAACGAGTCAAGACGCAGTGCAGAGGGCGACTGTTTTTGTAAATGCTCAAATTACCATATGGCATTTTATCATGAAAACTTTTACAGTCAGGTATTGAAGACGCAAGCCACGCACTACAAAGCAATTTCGAGTAGATGCTTAAATCTAATAAATATAAATACCGTTCAAAATATTCAAAGTACCTTATAAGTACTATTCATGAGTGCACTTCTATATAAAGCATGAGCCGAGAAAATTTAAAAATTCTTTCTTCACAATTACTTCCTCAAACCATGCCTCCATACACTGAATATGCTGAAAAGATTCTATAAGACTATATTAAAGTTGTTTTATGTGGATTGAAATAGTAAAGACAGAAGGTGTGTGGTATGAACATGACCTACCGGGTTTTCTACCGTCATAGCCATAACTGTGCAACAGTTCACCCTTAGCTTTTGAACACGTGATCAGAAATGATATAACTGATCTAGGAATTCCCAACTCACCAGCATAAATATTTCGGAGAAAGATTCTCAATGGCGAACAGATAAATAAAACAATATAATACATAAATCAAACAGCCATATTAAGAAGATGGTTTGCATAAGAGGGTATTTCAGAGGATACATTATAAGAGGGTATGACTATAAGAGGGTATGACAAGAATAATTTCGCGCTAACTAGCACTTAAAGTATGGTTAAGCGTTTATTTCCAGGAGTCGTAATGGTATTACCTGCAGGAATAAATACTTCGTCATCTATCGATATCATCTGTCAATATCTAGACAGGATATTATCTAGTATAAGATTTTGGCAAAAGATTAAAACGCTTGTCTCTTAACAACAATGATCTATTCCGGCTTTTGGCCTGCCTCAAAGCTTTGGCACTGAAACTAGGTGCTGTTTCAGCAATTAAAATTTATAATCAACTCTACAAACTTCGAACCCGGGTACAAGCTGCTGAAATGGGCTTCCTTAGACGAGTCGCTGGCCTTACGCGCCTCGTCATGGTCCGGAATAGTGACATCCGGAAGAGCCTTGGAATATAGCCTTTGCTTCTCCAGATTGAGAAGTTACAGCTGCGATGGCTTGGGCACGTGTTGCGAATGCCTCCAGA